GTAAGTTGATCAGATATAGAAAAATCTCTTTTTCATTATTTTAATGCAACATCTTCATGGGGTTTTTTGTTGTTGTTGTCTTCTTGTTGTTATTTTCACTACATAAGCCTCTCTCTTTTAAACTCCATGCTACAAGGACCAATGGTATCCATTGCCTACAACAGAGTCTGGTACATAGTAGGTGCTCAAAATTTATTACATGAATAAATGGAAGAGGACCTTTCATAGAACCATGTTTAACATGACATTCCTATTTATAGTTTTTTTCTCCCTTTTTTTTTCTGGGGTTTTTACAGTTGTTTTCTGTGTGTGTTTAGTCTGAATCTTAAATTCTGAAGATACAGTCACTTAACCCTCTCTTCCGTCTACTTTCTTTTCTTAATTTCTGGCAACGATGTGAAAATAATGGTGCTTATATCTTTGTAACGACAGAACTTCCTTTGTCTTTTAGATTCATCTTAATCCTCAGTGACTCATATTTAAGAAATGAACTGTGCAGCTGTGGTGGAGCTAAGCCCTTGGCAACAACTCGAGGGGCAAACAGGTGGTCTCTCACAATGGATGGGTGGTCCTTAGCCTTGAATTATTTGCTGTTCGGTTTTAACAGTGGAATTGCATCATCAAACAGTGTCTTGAACTTTTTCAGTTTGATGGCACCTTTAAGATCCATTTCCTTATTTGACAGACTTTGCTCCAGTAATTATCTCCACTTTCCCCTGATGTCTTTAATGTATTCTTCTCTGCTGTGGTGACCAACTGTCCTGGTTTGCCTGATACTGTCCTGGTTTCAGCATTGAAAGTTCTGTGTCCTTAGTACCTGGCAAACAAGGGTGGTTGGTTATCCATCTTTCAGTCTGTGTTCAAACCATTCCTATCCTAAAAAGAACGTATCTCTCTTTGCCTTGCGATCCTCTCTGTCCTGTCCTCCTCTTTTCCCTGAAATGTTGTCACTTGAAATGCCTCCTCCTTCTCTCACTTACTCCTCAACGAAACCTGTTTCCAAGGCTACTGCCCTCCGCTGAAATGGCTCTCACCGAGGTCTGATGAACACTGCTCAGTGCTGATCTTGTTTTACTTCTGTGTCATGATTGGACATTCTTGGTCACTTTATTCCTCTCAAACTCTCACTCTCTCTTCAGTACTTTTACATTCCTTATTTGCCCCAGTCTTCACACCTATCCAGTCCTTCTCGGCGTTTCATTGGATCCAGTTCCTCTGTCTGCTCATTACATTTGTATCTGTGTTCTCCAGAATTTTCTTTTCCTCTCACTCCACTGAGCAATCTCATCTACTTACGTAATCTAAATCCTTGCCTGTATGCATAATCGTAGGCACTCAGTGGATATTAGCGTCGTGAGTGAATGACTCCTACATCTCATTTCTTCTCCCTAAACATTGGATTCGAAACTTGTTTCCTGCTGGAAAGAATGTTACGTCTCCAAGCTGAGCATATCACATCCCCTTACGGTGTTCCCCATACAGACCCCCCTCATAGGAGCCTGGGATTTTAATATTCATCTTGATTAATTTTATGCTAAATGTGCACATGAGGTGTTCTGGATCAGAGACAGATCTCCTTGACTTACTTTACGGTAAATATCATCACTACCTTCCACCCTCTGTTCAAGCCTTGCCCCTAAGGAGACATGGTGAGATCTGATGAAAATTTTCTCACATGAGTGGCTGGGTGGGTGCTCCATAGGAAAGTAACCAGGAAAAAATGATTTTTCTCTGCTTATAAAGGAGAAGTAAGCAATTGTCGGCTTCTCCCGCTGAAAGGGTCTCCTTGGAAACGTGATGGGCCTGAGTCCCAACTCCAACTTCTCTAGGAGCCAGCTAGCCCCATGCATCTCAGGTTTTACAACCTAGAAATGTCTCCAAGGTCTTGGCTTTATATTTTCGAAATGTAAATACCTACAGAGATAGCTACTCCAGTCTTTCTGACAACTTGGAGCTTGACCTAGGAAACTACTCCGGGCTATAACCATTTGGCCCTCTGGATCAGAGAAATTAACTAGACAGATGACTACAGATCTAATTCCCATGGTATGGGAAGGTGTTCACGAGGCTAGAACTTTTTATAGGTGTACTGAGAAATCCAGGAGAGTTTATTTCCTCACGTTTAGTCTAATTGCACCCAGCGTTCACTCCTTTACTCAACCTAGAACCTAGGAGTCATCCTTGCTCCTCCCCTTCTCTTCTCCAGCATCTGTTCGGTTACCAAATTCCCACATCTCTACTCCCTAAACATTTCCTTACTCTGTCTGTCTCTTTTTTTGCCCTGGTACCATTGCCCTGGTTCAGATCCTCATAATCTTTCGCTGAATTCTTACAGTTGCCTCCTGTTTTCTCTGATTCCATTTCTGTCCTTCTCAAATACATACCCTGTACTAATGTCAGAGAAATCTCTTTGAAACGCACACATGCCCATGCCACTCCCCTGCTTACATCCCTTCAAAGGCTCCTGATTACCTATGAGACAACACCTAGACTTCTTAACAGGGTATATATGGTCATAGGTTGAGGTTCAAATCCTGACTTAAAGGTCTAATACAGTTTAAGATAAGAACAGTACCCTGCTTCATCTCTGGACATGTCTTCTCCTTGTACTTTATCTTCTAGAAACACTGGCCTACTTGAGATAATTGCGCATGCCGCACTGAATTAGCCCTGTGTCTCGCACCTGCATTTTTGCCTTCTTTCTTCTTCCTCTAACCTGCTTTTCCCTGCCTAACTCATCATGTTCATGCTTTAGAATTCCTCTTGAATACTATCTTCTCCAAGAAGCCTTTCCCAATTTCCTTTCCCGTATTATGCAAGCCTATAGCACTTTCCACATTGTGTTGGAATTATTTACATGTTCGACTCTTCCACTATTTACTGTAAGTGCCTACACAGGAAGGGCTGTTGTGCATTGAACTTCGTATTTCTGGTCTTTAGTCTAACCACTGACACATAGTAGTTCAATAAAGGGAGCCATTATTATTATTATAATTAGTAATATCAGTATCAGCTTCCTATTGGCAAGTCCAAACCGAGAGACAAAGTAAAATAATAATTTTCTTGAAGCTAGAAAAATCAGATGTTTGAAAAAAAATACAGGAATACAAGAAATGTGTACACATACATTCACGCGTGTGTGAGTGCACACGCACGCACACAAACACAGAGATTACAAATGAAATATTAGAGGGAAAATCAGCCTTACATGTAAGCAAAGTAAATAACCCACCTACTCTGTATGATTTCAAGGGTGCAAGAATATCCTGCTATACAGAAATTGCATCCCTATCCACAGGCTGAATCCTAATATTCCACTTAACGAATTTCATTATTTTGGCTCAAAAACCTTGCCTCTCTCTACTAAACTGTAAATAACTTGGAAGGTGAATCATTTTGCAAAGTATCAGACTCAGGATTCCTTTGAATGGTGAACACCGTTAGGATTTTATTTATAAATGTGTCCTACATTCCACTTCTAGAGCACTCCTGTGACATGATACAGCTGAAGTTTAAAGGAGATACTGCGAAGTTTTCTCCCAGTAATAGAGCAAACAGAGGTTTAAATTCAATAGGCAACATTACTAAAAATAGGATAGAATTGAAAAAAGATATGAATAATTAAGCCCTAGATCAGGGCAATTATTATTACTGTTGTTTTTGCACTGGTCTTTTAGCATTTATGTGATATTTAATACTTGAATTAACATCTTCCTTTCTGAGATTGCCGAATCTGGGTCAATAACTATCTTCATTGGTTTCAGAATATCTGTTAATTTATCCTAGCCTCTCAGGATGTCTCACAACCCTTAGCACTTGGTTATATATGAGCTTTATTGTTTTCTTTGTTTCTAGTGTGGTTAGTTTTCTCCCTTCTTTTGGTTCAGAAACTTCTTGAAGGCAGAAAGTGTGCGTTTTGCTTTTCTTTTAATCCCCTGTATTAAAGAAGATTACAGATTAGAGATTAAAATTGATAACTAATTTAGATGACCTCAAAACACCTGTTCTAGGCTCACTCTTCTATAGAAACTTGTTCCCACAATTTCTACCTTCAGTATACCTCAGAACATTTCTCCTGTTTTCAGAGAAGTCACAGTGGAAAATGTAATGGGTATTTTTCAGAAGCGTTGAGTTTTTACTTAGTTTTTTTTTATTAGTTTATTCATTATTAGTTTTTATCAGTTTACTGTTAACACATCATTATGTTCATTGTCAGACATTTCGACAGAATTAACTGGTGATGATGAATTAGATCGGTTGTATACTTCAGTACAACCTAAGTTTTTCCAAGTGGCCCCTTAGGCTTCCCGTTATGGTTTTGATATCTGTTCTCTTGGGTGTGTGTAAGTTTCATTAGCCCTGCTAGGCTCTTTTTTTTTTTTTTTTTTGGTCTTCGTTGCCGCGTGTGGGCTTTCTCTAGTTGTGGCGAGTGGGGGCCACCCTTCGTTGCGGTGCGTGGGCTTCTCATTGTGGTGGCTTCTCTTGTTGCGGAGCATGGGCTCTAGTCACGCGGGCTTCAGTAGTTGTGGCACATGGGCTCAGTAGTTGTGGTGCACGGGCTTAGTTGCTCCGTGGCATGTGGGATCTTCCCGGACCAGAGCTCGAACCCGTGTCCCCTGTATTGGCAGGCAGATTCTTAACCACTGTGCCACCAGGGAAGCCCCCTGCTAGGGTTTTGCAATATATATCTTACAACTTTAGCTCCAGATTTCAAGTTTGGTAGTCAAGTTATATAAATAAATCACTCATCTTAATTAAAGTACACTAACATGTCTTGAAAGGTCCCCTATCGTCTCCAGAATAGTTTTACAAACACAGTGTTTTCCTGATTAAAAGAAAGATCTGTCGAGCCTTCTTTATCATTTTATGACTGTCAGTTTATAAATAAAGGAGATAGAAATTGACCTGGGAATTTCATAACCAAGTTCTGAGCACCCAGGATTAATTTTGAGAAGAATGCCACAAGCCACATAAGCATTTCTTTTCATCTCATTTCACAGGCCTTCAAGAGGGAATTGAAAGCGAAAGAACCTGTAATCATGAGTACTCTTGAGACTGTACGAATATTTCTGACAGAGCAGCCTTTGGAAGGACTAGAGAAACTCTACCAGGAGCCCAGAGGTAATTGAATGTGGAACTGTAATAACATACTGATAGAAGGATCAGTGGTGACAGAATGACCCATCCATTCTTGCTGGCAGTGTCTGGATAGCTCTCATATTTTCTAGGTTAAATAGAATCAATTCAAATTAAACCTTGATGTTGAAAAAGAAAAAGGAATCATAAAGCAGCATGCATAAATCTGTTTGCACATTCATAAATAAACATTAAAAGAGATTAGCAATCAATTATTGAAACATTTAGAAAATAATAAACAAAAGAGATAATCTGTGAGGAGGAAATTTATTGTCACAAAGACTACAAGCTACTTTTCAATTTAAGAGCCTGCCTGAAGTAAATTAGAGCTTGTGGTGTGCGTCCTAACATTTTTCTACTCAGTAGCTTAAATGAATCTTGGATTATCTGATTGATATAAAGTAGAACAGATTCACTCAGGAAGACACGACTTCAGTTGTGCTAAACTATATCAAAATGTGTGCCACAGTATAAAAGAGCCATTAATCAGTAGGTTGGCCTCTTATTAAAGTGTACTCTTTCTTTTTTCCAGTATGACCTTTTCAACAATGTTGTGTTTTTTTTTCCACACGAAAATGAATGTGGCCTAAAACCTTGTTGTGTTACCAATTTAGAGCTGCCTCCTGAGGAGAAAGCCCAGAATGTCACACGGCTCCTACGAAAGCAGGCTGAGGAGGTCAACAGTGAGTGGGAAAAATTGAACCTGCACTCGGCTGACTGGCAGAGAAAAATAGATGAGGCCCTCGAAAGACTCCAGGAACTTCAGGAGGCAACGGATGAGCTGGACCTCAAACTGCGCCAAGCCGAAGTGATCAAGGGATCGTGGCAGCCCGTGGGCGATCTCCTCATTGACTCCCTCCAAGATCACCTCGAGAAAGTCAAGGTACCTTCTACTGCTTGGCTTCAGGGCCCTTTGAGAGATTCAAAACAGGTTCTAATCTGAACTCATCTGCAGTATTTTCTTCTCACCAAGTTAAAAATAGGGCCCTTAAACACTCGAAATCTTTCACAAATTCAGAGTCTTCTGGCACATGGTATTTTCTCTAAGAGAAGATAGTGATCTAATCATGTCTGCCTTCAGTAATATAAAATGAAATATTAAGTTACAGGGCAAAAAAATCATGTTGATTTTGCGATCGGGGAGTTAACTTAAGTGTGCTAAAGTTGTCTGATTTACGTGTGTATGTGTGTGTGTATTTGTGGTTCTTAGTATCAGAGTAGGGAAA